TCTTATAAGACTTAACTACAAAAATGCACATACATGTTTTATACATTACAATTAGTTATATATCCAATTAAGGAGGTCGAAACATTTACTATTGTATTACCTATGTAGTAAATGTATTTATATTAGCAATTGTGTGTTTAATTTATGTTTCACTTAATTTTATATATTTAATAACTTCTTTGCTTTTTATTACCACAACTAATGTATGTTGTCAAGAAATCGTCCTTTCCTCACACTGCAGTTTTTGCCTTAATACGGCTGCGTTATACTTTAATTTCTTAAGGATTCTGTTAGTTGCCCTTGATAGACAAACTCATGGGTCTATGATTAATTATTTTCCAAGATGCACTATGTACGCCAGCAGCATCAAGAACGTCTTGCTTTTGTGAAATTATCTTTAAATGATACTTTAGGAGCTCTTTAAGATCTATGACACCTGTCAAACGGTTCATTACCTCTCAGTGAAGAATATTACTGAAAAATATCTCATCTTTGAATATCTTTTTCATTCGTTGAAATTGTAAAATTTAAAAGTGACAAATGATAATAAAAATACATATTCTTATTTAATACCGCGTAAGACAGAATTTTAAATGAAAACTTTAAATGATTTAAAAGCGATTATTTTTATATAAATTGATATTATAATTAACAGCTTACATCATTTGATATATTATTTTAATTTCCTGTTTTCTTTACATTGAAATTAATTAGTTTCTTTCGTTTTCTTTATATTAACTGCAGGTTTTATTAATTTACACTATTGAAAATATGCAAAGTGCATATCTAATTAATTATATAATTATTTGTCTCTCATCCGTGCGCTTCTTTTCTTTCTGCAGATTTAAACAAAGACCAGTAAATTCGTCTTTTTGCGCAAGGACAAAAGGCATTTTTTTTCATGGCTTGCATCTATTTTTTTCTTTTCATTGTTTATAATTAATATCTGTGTTTTCAAACTTCACCGACGATACTGGTCGTTATGCAAAGTCTTTGTTTTTAGATTTTCTTAACTCGTTAACGAAGTTTATATAGATGAAGAAGAAGCGTATGAAAGAAATGGCTTATGACTGTTTTGCTGCATCGGCTGCTTTATATTCACATTGGTAACCTGGGTCACAAGCTCCTCCTTTTTCTTGCACTGTGTCTTTCAAGAGTATGCGTACCTCGCAAAGTTCAAATAAATGCGTCGATTCCATCGGATAAAAAGTGATGCACCAAAACAAAACGTTTTTAAGAGAAAAGAGTAACATGACGGGGAAATGTAGTTTCTACCGTGGTGCAACCAACATTTTTCTTCCCTTTTCTCCGCAATACCAATCGATTTCCTTCTTACCAATTTCCGCGCTTATCGGTGACTCCGTAACATCTTTACTAGTTTCTTTATAATGCTTTACATCTTCCACCACCTGCGTCAAAACGTACTGATAATATAAAATAAAACTTAAGTTTGTTTTTAATGAACATTAATTACTTCGGATAATTTTGTCATAGTTTATATTCTTTGTTGCAATTACTTCTTACTTTAGATTTCTTGATATTTTATTTAACTTGTTCTAAAAATTCTTTTATTTTCGCATTACTATTTCCTTTATCATGACTGACGTCTGAAATTGCTTCTGTAGGAATTGGAAATGTAATAGGGAGTTAGATGTTAATACCTACATTCTCTTTGAACGTCCCTGCGGCCTACTTGTCATATCCGTTTATATTCAGTGCCAATGGGAAATCATAAATATATTACGTCACGGAATGATTTAGCAGAGCTATATAATGTTCTTAAAAAAGAATTACCTAAGTCCTTATATAAAAATTATTTTTAAATTCTTTACCAATAATCACTAGCATATTGACTGTACGTCATCCATATATAAATGACATTCAATTTTATTAAAAATTGTCATAAAAAAATAATGCTTCTTACTCTCTTATTTTCGAGAAAATTCCCTCATTCAAATATAAATGACACCAATTTTTCGAAGAAAATTTGGTGTCATTTATATTTAAATAATAGAATGCTCTCGAAAAAAAGTTCATACATGAATAATGTGTATGACGTGGCGGTTAGTACGTCAATAGTATATTTCTTTTTTATAATATTATATTTATATAAAAAAAATGTATGCATTTTTATTAAATATTATTAATATTCTGAAATATTTTGCCTTTCAAAAAGTTATTATCACGTTATAAAAATAAAAAGCGTAAAAAACTAACCAACTCTTTCTCTTGGCTATCATATTTTTTGAAGCTTTTAATTGATTCTATCCAATGTTACAATTTATTTGTTAACAAAGAACGATTTTTTTTATAGCTGTAACAATTTAATAATAAAAAGAAAAAGTCTAGTATAAAGGATAAAGATATATATATATATATATATAAGCAAATCCACATACATACACATTCCATACAAACATTGCACACTAATAATTATTTAGAAAAAATATATTTCTCTCGCAGAAGTGAATGCAGTTTTTTTCCGATACTATGACGCAATGTTACGCAAATATACGATATTTTCTACTGATCAATAATCCAGTTATAGTCAGCTATTGGCGCAGAGTTTTTACGTAAATTATACTCTACGTTTAGAATAACAAGAGCTATATTTCTGTTTTTCTAAATTATAGTACGTAACAATCTTGAAAATATTTGCAAATACGTAATATGCTGCAAACGTCTTACGGACGAATAATGGTTATAATGCAAGAAAAGTATTCGCGTCAAGAGAAAAATATGTGCTTAAAGAAATCGACCGCTGGGAGGGCGCACTAAAAAGCGAGGTGAAAAAGCGGAGATTAAGAAGGGAGTATGCAGCATCCCTTATCTTGTAACGGTAGCAGTAGATATCGCATGAAACGACGTGGGGGAGCTACATTAAGAGATAAAAAGATTTCTGAACCGTAGAATTTACGACCAATTTCGTCTACCGACGCGTTATTCCCGAGTGCGTTAACTCGCGCCTGACAATCGCATAAAGTACTTTCGGCTGTCGGCCGCATTTTGTTGGCGCCATAGCAGAGAACGTTCAGTGTAAAAGCCACGCTCGTCTGCTACACACCGTGACGAGCGATGAAATAATTACGAGAATGTAATAGTGGTTGGACTGAATTACGAGGACAGTAATTGATTATTAGTGACAAGGAGAATCGTAACTGAAGTTAACTGTAATCTCAGTATAATTGATAAAATATAGCTTCATCCGTAAGTTGGAAAGTTGCATAAAATCATAATTTTCTTTTTTTTTCTTGTAAATAAAAGTATCTGTTTATTTTGCTTGCACTTTTTGCATATAAAATCTCCGTTCTCTTTTTCTCCAAGATTCAAATATACATTTATCTCGTTTTAAGTGCAAAAGTTTTGGATTTCTAGGAAAACAAATAAATTTTATGATAATACCGCGCGCGCGTATTAACATTTCTGTTGGGGAGAATTTTACTATTGAGTGCAACAAGAAATGTATGAGGGAAAATAAATATTCCGCTGGGGAAATTGGTGATTGCGCGATGAAACTTTTATTTTATTACCGTTACCCTTACGGCAGAGCAATAAAACTTAAGTTACAACGTTCTAATGTTTCAAAGCGATTCCGGCATTTTGTGGTGCGCGGTTGTTTACCTGGTGCTCGAGTTTACCCTCTTGTGTTGCTGGACGCGCATCGCAGTACGTGTATATATACGTTTCGTTGACTTCATGCATATGCAGATCTAGCCACATTATGCATTTGTTGCATGTGCAGCGCGTCAAATTGCGTCGCGTTTAGTTGCTATGCGGAAGCGAATGTAATCTCCCTAGATCTCACGAAATAAAATGGAGTTTCGACATGTGGAAAAAATATGGACATAGTATATCTAGATTGAACGTGTTGAGGAATGATGGGTGCACATAGAAAAAGTCTCGCTTTTATTTTGTGCTCTTTACGTTCTCTCTTTTTCACGTGTAAAAAGAGCGAGAAGAAAAACGCGAATGAGCGAGAACGGAAGGAATACAAGTAGAAGAGAACACAAAATATAAAGCAAGTTCTTTTCTAAGTGCACCTCGAGCCCTACTCCACAAATAACTGCGAATACTCGGTCTAGATATAGGATGCTTTCCTGCAAGAGACATAGATAACACAGTGAAACACAGTGAATCATTTTCACCTTTGTGGCAAATAACATCGGCAAACAGCAAGAATGTAATGATTCACTTTGTTATACTGTGTCATCTGTTTCTCTTGCTGGAAAGTACCCATACTATGTTTGTGGGAAAAGTCATCCTGACCAAGAATGACTGGCTATTGCAAATGTACTATTTTGCGATGCATTTACGAAGTTTCACGCGCGAAATGTTTCTGACGTCACGCAACAATTGATCTTTTTGTTTGACTTTAATTGATACTTGTAAATGCGTGGAAAACTTTTAACTTTTTAATCCACATATCTTTTACCAATATATATCTTGTTACCAATAAACATTCAATTTTATTGATAAAAAGTTAATTATAATATTAGTAATATAAGTATTATAAAATCGGCACATTTTTTAATTTTTACATAATATTTTAAGTTTGCTTATAATATTTGACTTTTAATTTTTTTTTTAAATCATATAAAAATATTTTTAGTACAATTTGATGTTTTATTTCTTGGATTCGTTATATTGGATCTGTCATTTTGATTCGTCAATTCTTATGTTTCGATCTCATTTTTGTATTTAAAAATAATAACTGCATATAATGTACATCGTATTTAAAAAAAATCAGACTTTAAAGAATTAATCGCTGGGGTCAATTCATATCTAAATTTAATATTACCAAGAGTTTTCTTCGTATTCGCGCACGTACAGTGTTCAATTATATCCTGCGTTCCATATTTAAGAGAAAATATCCTTTTCTTTTAGAATGTAATTATAAATACCTTGAAAGTTTTAATATAAGATATTAAATAAATAATATTGAAAAAAATAGATGATTATGGACGCATGTTAATAAAAATTAACAATTGTTATTGTTGCAGGGTCGAGAAAAACCGAACCTCTGAATGATGTGAGAGGAATATATGGACGGACACCAAACAGACTGGGCAGATTCGGCGAAATCACGAACACGTGGCGGGACGTAAAGCGGGGTGAGTCAATAAATCATGTTCCCATTTACGGATTAAATAATTTTATTAAAAAATCATACGTAAATCGGTAAATCCATAAAATTGCAAGTCAGTCTGATATATTAACGTTACGTATAACACAGTGATGTACGGATAAAGAACTATACATTCCCGTGTTTAAAGCTTTATTTTTTTCTAAAATGGCTTATAACCACATATATTTTTTTTGCAACTTAAACATTGTTTTATACGTTACTATTTATGGAATTTTAAACAATAGTACAAAATTATAAATGTAAAATTAGGTAGCTGTAAGCGTAATAAAAGTTTTTAATTTTTGGTGAAAGCGGATTATTCTGTATAGTTTAACAATGCTATTGTATCACTTTATAAATCGCAGTGTTGCTACATTGCTAGGAATATGCATTCTCAATTCTGGTTTCGACCTAGTTTCGAATAACGTGCGCTGCATTTTTGTTTCTAATGGAAAATTGCGTTTTCGATCGGGGGCCATTGTACACGAAAAATTGTAGTAATGAAAATAAATGATCTTTAATAAATAAAATCTTGTGTATCAAAAAGAATGAAAATTGTCACTCTTCTTCAAGAAGTGAAATATTTTCACTCTTCTCCAAAATTGGCTGTATTTCCATTCTCTTAGAGTGAGATTTCACTCTAAACAATTTAGAGAGTGTATTATTGATTAGATAAAAACAAAAATGCGTTTCTTAAATATTACAAGAAATTTTATAGTTGACCGCGCGCACTGAACAGTATTAATGCTCCCGTGAGCATAAGAAAGGCACACTTTTGATCCTTTTTATCCTAAGTTGGAGAGCACTACTTTCTCTCTGATAGTTTCCCAAATTCCCAAAGGACTCTGCCTATAAATATGTATGGTGGCGTCTCCAATTTCCTAGGAAAGAGCTATCGAATGCCGAATACATTGCTTGAAAATGCTAAGCAATCTCTCTACAGTGTGCTCTAATTATACCGCAGTTACATCGATGAGGTCATTTAATCGGGAATTCTTTCTTGCAAATTTACTTACAAACTTTTCTCATGATTAACATCCCTTATTCAAAGTTACTCTAATCCAATTGACCTTATTTTACAATTTTGTCAATTAACAGAAACAGATAAATAATACTACATATTGCAACTTGATATAGAATTATGTTGTAATTAGATAAGAAAAAATATACTAGTTATTAATGTAAACAAATACATTTTATAGTTTTTTATTATTATTTCAAGTAGTAAGGTAACGTCTTATTAACGTTAAAGACATCATTAAAACGTTATTGAAACGTCATTTGACGTCACCTTGCTATTTGGGATATTGTATCACATAGCGAGAAGTAAAATATCTGCTTATTGTATTTGTTGCTTACAATGTAATTACGGTAGATTTATTCGATTTAAAATTGAAAGTTATATGTGTAATGCATTATTTGTGGTTTCTTCCAGCGTTAAGCCTGCTGTGCGTAAAGAAATTTTCCGGCAGCGCGACAATGCTGGAGGCGCCGCCCGGAAGTCGAGAAGACCTCGTAGAGGCAGCAAGAACTCCTTGTACACCCACCGGTAGGTGACGTCGACGCTTTATCATAAAGTTCGAAGGGAGTTTCGGTAACTCACGAAATTTATTAGTCCGCGTAAACACGCTCCGTTATGGTTCTGTGAGCTCCAAAATAGATGGCCACGGCTTGACGCCATTGTACATTGTTGATAGTCGTGATTACATGAAGTAAAATGTGAGCGAATAAAACTTGGCGAATTAAGAACTTTGCCGTCGCTATTTGTGCATTCAAAACAAAGAAAGTGTATTATCGAGTTATTGTACCAATAAATTTAACAGAAATAATTCAAATAAAGGATCTAATGAGTAAATTAATAAATTTAGTTAAATATGTCACGATTGCTTCACGCGATTGTATCAATGCAATTATACTAATTTGAATAATAATAAATGAAATTATAAAATGACTTTCTTGTTACTTAAACTAAATTTGAGGATTATATGTCGAGTTAGGAAATATTATAATAGTCTCGTACAGACAAACACACATACACCTATACATCCGCATTCAAGCACAAAAAGCTATTTAAGAAACGAGATTCTGATGTCAGAAATTTTCCGGTACTAACTCGATAAGCACAAATCCCTCCATCATGTATTCATGTCCGCCCTTCAAACTTTATCACCGCATCACGACGGCTATCACTCACCTCCGAAAAGCAATCTTACAAATTTCCGCCAACTAGGATACGACGAGTTACTTCCTCGTTACGTCTCATCAGATTGCATTCCGAGGCTCCCGTCTTTGCGAACGCAATAAATTAGTTTCTTCTTATCTTCATCTCTATCTGATAATTACAGTTTTGATAATATCGTTAGAAAATTATTATCGAGAAATTTTCTGTCATAATCGTCTCTCGACGCATTCATTCTTTGTACCAGTGTCGTAAAAGCATTTTATCGCGTGGGGGAGGAGGGCGCAGACCACGAAACGCCATTTCCTTTCCTAGACCGATATCGTCGACACTGGCGGTAATTGACACCGTTTTCACGGCTAAACCGCTTTCCAATTTTCCCCTTATTTTCACGATGTAATAACTTACTGAGCCTAGAGTAAATTTAGTTAAGGGATGGGTCAAGGGGGTGAAAAGGCTATTGGCGGCGGCTACTAACGGTATACGTGTACACAGGCGTCTTCTTTAGAAGCTGCCGTCGAGATAAGCTCTCATTGGCGATCGAAGCGTAATCACTATAGCTTCCTGAAATAGCGCGTCAATCCCTTGCACCGCTGAGAGTCCTTGCCGGAGGAACTTCGATCACTTGTCAGTAACGGAATAGCTGTAGTAAGAATTATGATCGCGGCGAACTTAATCAAATAAAGTTAATAATTGCAACAGATAATAACTGCCATTAAAATTAAAAGGTTTTTAAGCGTTCGGTCAAATTACAAAAATCACACCAGCTATATAAGGTGCATTCGGGGAGACACTATTAGCGTTATTTGTGTCATTCTATCTTCATTGTTTATTAGGCGTAAGATAAAAACAAAGATAAAAACAAAGATAAAAACTCCTCGAATGCAGTCATAGAGTATTAGAAATTCAAACTGTAATAATTAATAAATATATCTTCTTTCTTTTTAATTGGTTTTAAATTCTTAATTGGCTTGACTATTAAATTCATTTCGGTGCTGTATATAGAATTAAAACACACACAAAGATGGATTTAGTTTCGTAAAAGCAATGTGTTTCGTACAGCTAGTACCAGCGAACGCAGACCTATACCACTTGAAACGATCGATTCGCTTTTCCTCGCATTTTTGGTCTCCATTTTTCCGCAGCATTGGGACATCATAAATCTCACGAGAAAGCACTCTCGCGAGTGTTATCTTACAAGCGAGTGACGCACACGATGATGATCGAGATGCAGATCGAAAAAATTGGCGCCGCTACAGGATAAAAGCGTCTGAGAGTCTTGCGGGACGCGATCCTCTCGTGTCCCGTTTCTCGGCGTAGGATTTCCATCTTTGTATCATAAATCAAAATGTCATCCAATTCGAAGCGGTCGCCCGTCTTCTTCTAATTCTCTCGTGAGCCATCACTGTCGGTATCGTGTACAAATAAATAACGACCGATCGAAAAATGTCGGCATGTTATAAAAAGCTCGATCTTGAAAAGTTTCGAAAGTTTCTGTTCTTTCTTCCTTCTTTCCTTACCCTTCCCTTTCCCTTTACCCCTTACCTTTCGCCCCGTAATTATTCCCGTGTTCGCGAGGCAATTTAGAAACTTTGATAATTACGTGGAATTAAGCTCCTTAAAATTTATAACACGACCAGCTTGACACATTAGCAATATAAGGAACAGAATAGACGATTAGAAGAAAAATGCATACAAGATAAAGAAAGATTGTTACTTTTTAAAGCTTCTTGAGACACGAATAATAATTTATATTAAATATTTAAATTTATATTAAATGGAATAATGATTTTTTTATACTAAATTTTGGCTGCGCTAGTAAACACTATCACGCTATTAATGTCTACACTCTAAATTTCTTGCAGTGAAATCTCACTTCAAGAGAATAAAAATGCAAGAAAGTGAAAATACAAGCACTCTTGAAAAAAAGAGAATGAAAATGCAACCACCCGTAAAAATATTTTACTTCTTGAAAAAAAAGTGATGATCTTTATTCTTGTTAGAGTGAGATTTCACCACTTTGAAATGAAAATTCACCCTAAAAAGAGTGAAAATTGTCACTCTTTTTCAAATATTTTTACTTTTTTTTCAAGGGTGATTATATTTTCACTTTCTTGGAGTGAGATTTCACTGTAAGAAATTTAGAGTGTATTAATATTTTATAATGTTAGGTCTCATATGAAGCACACTCCCAATAATAAATATAATTAAAGCGTATACATTTTTTCAGTGATTAATCCGTTACGTTAATAGTTAAACTTTAACGTTAACAATTTAACTTTTTAACTTAAAATCTCACGGGATTATTTTTAACCTGATCGTTCATATTATCGATTTTCTAAAAAAAAAATACAGTAGCGATTATACATTTATTTTAATACATAGCATATTATTATTAATGCAGTCCATAACGTTTAAGTACATCAGAAAATAATGTGCGCTTCTCTCGTGAATTCAACATCGAACGAAGTTATAATGCGGTAACAGTTTGCGACGAACGAGTCAACGCGCACCGAAATTAATAATAACGCGCATGAGGGCATCCCGCACCGTCTGTTGTATTAATTAATATGAAATTCTAGATCAGCAACTGTCACGCCAACAGCAGAGCCGTTTCCTTGTATAATTAATAATGATCCTCGAAGTTACCGTAAATGTAGGCGTTTTGTTACAAACTCGGATAAATGCAGTCCGCAATGCGAAACATCGTTAATGATATTTGAAGATAGGAGAAATTTAAATAAGAATTATTAAAATGTAGAAGCGCATCTAGTGTATCGAATACATTAATTATTTTTGTTCATTAATATCTTTCTTTTTTTGGATATTAAAAAAATTCAAGTTTAAAAAGATATCAAATTTGCTCTGATTGAATTAACAACGATATTTAAAGCATTTAAAAAAAAAAAATTTATAAAACAGCATGTTATATGTATAATATTATTTAACGATATTCATAAAAAATATAATAAAATATTGAATATAAGACATATTACAAAACTTAATTGACTTGCTAATTATGTAATTGTTCATAAGATGATTAACGATTAAAGAACTTGAAAATATTATTGAAATTATTCAATCAGAGATTTAATCTTGTAATATTTTGAAGATAACAATAACGAATCATAATTCACAAAATCGAATGAAAGCTCGTATTGTGTATAATAGAAACAGATAATACGCTCCCCTGAAGCGGTACGCATCCTATAATCGAGTATATTGTTATGATTTCTAGTACATTGTATTGTATTCTCTTTCTCTCTTTCTTTCTCTGTTTTTCTTTTGTATGAGGCATATTGCATGTTTCCATATTTATACGTGTAGGCGATTATATAATGAAAGTACCGATAACGTGTTCCAAATACAATTTATTGGTGATAATTGACGAAATGGATTACATGCGCGAATCGCGGCTGCGATTACTATCGACATTTTTCCTTTTCCTGTATCATGGAGAATTCGATATCAGCCGTAACAAACTGCTCGATCTAATTAAACTCGCTGATCGGAAGGGACATGACATTTGTATCGCGCAAATGTTTGCAAATAAAAACGATCGTCCTCTACTCGATACTCGAGAGCTAATCGAAAATAGTTTTAGTCATTTAAGTATCGTACTTACTTTTGTTTATATTTATCAATTAATTAATCATTATTAGAAATTAGATCTATTATTTGTTATTAAATTTACTTCGCAAAAATGACTTTTACATCAAAATAATTACAATGCAATTGTCATTTTTGTGTGCTGATTATCCCTTTATTAAATCTTTCACTTAAAATAAATATTTATTACTGCATCTTGTACATTGTAAAATATTGCATGCACAAGTAACAAAGAATAATGTTATGATATACAAGTTAAAAACAGTTTTAATGAGTATGATGTAGTAAGAAACAATAACAATTTTTTATTTATTCGTACATATTGTGATGGTATTAGCTACATTTTTTCATATTTCTAGTATCGCGAAATCTAAATTTGAAGAAATATTAAAGTAAAAATATATGTATAATTATATATATTGCAACTTATTTATTGACAAACTTTAATTAGTAACAGAAATTAATTATCTATAATGAATTCTATGAAAAGCATTCAACATTATTATTATTCCAAAAGAATCTAATTATTGTTTATTCAAATTAAATGATATTACTCTTATTATTCTAGTTGATACGTTTTTCCCATTTTTGATAAAATAATTAACCCTTTATTGCAATTCGCTTTACGTGCCTTTAAATAGCGAATATTTAAACGATTTATAACTCTGCCGGCAATATTTACTAAGCAAACAGGCGAGAAAGTTATTACATAATTTGTGATGCATTATTACAATATACCATGGTAAACTTCTCCAAAGCAA